CACGTTAAGGAATTGATTGCTCCAGAGGATGTGAGTTTCCCTGTAGTTTCTTGAGAGATGTGAGTTCTATCCAGGGGATGTGAGTTTCTCTGCATATACTTTGAGGGATGTGATTCTCTCCAGGAGATGTGAGTTTCCCTGCTTACCGATTGCTTGATGGACTATGTGTCCCGAGAGTGGGAGGGGTATGGAGCATACCGATAGCCTGACGGACTGTATGTCCTGAGAGTGGGAGGGGTATGATACACCGAGAGCTCAAAGGGTGACGAACCTGAGAGTGGAAAGGATGTATATATATGAGTTATGAGCACTTAATGTCTGAAACGTGATTGTAAGTATGAGACTCGATGAGTTTCAGGGATCGGGAGTGTTGATCTCAGGTGGNGCTGGCCGGGTTGGNCAGGAGTGTTAACCGTAGTGAGACGATGTTGCATGATTTGAGGTCAAATCTATGTTAGTGGGGGAGAATTGTAACGACCGCGAATCAAATTTTGTGATTTTTGGTCGTGCGTCGATCGAGACAAGGTGTGTGCGTCGATTGACGCAAACTTGATTTGAACCGACATGTTCGGTTTTTGAGCATCGGATTGCGGTTTGGTTTTGGAGAAACCCTAGGGTTTCGATATAAAAGGGGGAGGCTGCATTTTGTGTCATTTTTGGTTTCCAGAAAGTTTTCAAAGAGTTTGAGAGAGGATTTGAGAGAAAAGGAAGAATCATTGTTAATTTCTTCATTTTTTTATCCTAAACGCTCGTAGTTGTGACTGTGAGGCTATTGGAATTGTTCTGGTGATCGTTCTTCGCGGAGGAGGAGTGGATTTCGGATTTAGAGATCTGCTTTCTTCGTGTTCTGCGCGTTTTTCGCTTTTTTATCATTTTTCCTTCCACATCTAAGGTGAGTGCGTGACTATAAGCTTATCTGGGTAAATGAATTGATAGGATGCGATTGATTTTTTTATTTGGTTGGATTTCATGTTTGTTTGGTGAATTTCGTGCGGGAGATCGATGCGTTGCGTTGGGGAATCGATCCACGAGAGGATAGGTTCGATTCATGAGTTCTGCGTCGTGCGTCGATCGACACAGTGTGCGTTGATCGACACCAGGGTTGCGTGTCGATCGACGCATGAGCTATTGTGCGGATTCTCGTTCTGATTGTTGTGTATGCGTTGTTGATTGCTCATCCTGGT